AAGTGGTGGCTTTCTGCCCTAGAACTTGAGGATCTGAGGTCCATTGGCCATTGTCGAGCTGTATCTCTTTTATTCTATCCTTCCCTTTTTTGCTTTTGTATCCTGCATGGAATTTTCTCGTGTTTCTGTCTCCTTGTACTAGCCACAATGATCTACTGCTTTGTGCACGTAGTCTTTCCTCCTGTGTTACTGTCTTTTCATAGTCTTTCCTAAGCTCCTTCTCAAGCTGTTGAAGGTTCCTGGTTGGGTGTGCTGCTAGTGCATGTTGCAGCCCTGCAAGCCTAGCCAAGGTTCTTCTTTTCCTCTGGTAAATGTCACCGAAAATATTAAATTTCCATTGCTCTAATCTGATCTTAAGGCTATCAAGTGCTTGAGGAAGGACTAGTGACTGGTCCCAGTTGGATTATAGCCACGGTTTCCACAAATCGTGTGCTTCCCAGGCTGCTAGGTACCTGAAGAACTTTTGTTGCATAACCGAGGATGTTAGACTGGAGAATTTGACTAATATTGGTGAGTGGTCAGAGCTCGCTCTTGGTAAATGCTGGACTTTTGTGTTTTGAAAGCTTACTTCCCCTTGATTATTCACCAAAGCCCGATCCAGTCTTTTGTGACATCTCCTTCTCTTCCATGTGAATCTTGAACTGAGGTAGCCAAGGTCTTGCATTTCTGCGTTGTCGATCCATTCTCTAAAGAGTTTACAGCCTCTGGATTTTGTGCCTCCAACTTTGTCAGCTTCTTCAACTATGGCATTGAAATCACCTAGGATGATCCATGATTCCTGTGTGTTGTTTGCAAGGCGATGAAGATTGTCCCACAGTGTACGCCTTGTTAGCCTTTGGGGGCTACCGTACACGGCGGTTATGTAGCAACAAGAGTTATCGGAGAAAAAGGCTTTACAGTGAATAAATTGCCAGTTATTTTCAATTATTTGAATATCCATAGAATCTCTCCATAGTAGCCAAATTCCCCCAGAGAAGCCAATAGCTTCTATTCTATGGGAGTTTTCGAAACCTAAATCTTTTATTATTTTATCTGCACCCTCCCCACTAATTTTTGGTTCGATGACAATTAATATTTGAAAATGATAAAGTTTCAGTAAATCTTTGATAACAGAGATAGTTTGTATGTTTGCATCACCTTGTGTATTCCACGATAAGATTGTAATATCCATTAAAGCATTTTGGGTGTTTAAAGGAGCTCACCTGCCGGCTTCCGGCAGTAGCTTGGTATCTGGTGTTGTTTCTGGAGCCTTGACAGTATCAGTGCACATGAGAGTTGGGACGCTCACCTCTGCTTGTATCATTTGTTCATTTTGGTGTGGCGTTCCCGATCCCGTTGACGGCGATTTGATTTTCAACCTTTGTTTTATGTAGAAAGCCTTTGATGGGTCTGGGGTTTCCGTTTTGAGGGGAGCTCCTCTTGATAGTCAGATATGTCAGAGACCATGGTTATTTCCATCTCCGTATTTGGGTTTGGTGGTTTTGGTGGTGGAGGATTTGGGTGAGGAAGGTTCACTATGGTGTGTTTGGAGGTGTCGAGCCCGGTTGAGGTGTTAAGTTTCACTGGGTTAGTTGTCTGGGAAGTGGTGTGGGTTGCAGGGGGGGTGTCTTGGCTTTGGGCTTCTTGTTGGGTTGTTTCAGTAGTAGGTTTCTTTTGGGTTTCTTCTTCTGTTGGGCTTACTTTTGATGATTTCTTGATCCAAGCTTTGTCTCTGCCTAACAACTCCGGTTTTCTCTTAGCAGGAACAGTGCTGGGCTGGCTGGTTTTGTTTCTAGATCCGGGTGGTTGGTGGGCTTTGTTCTTTGGACTAGGGTTTTCATTGATGGGGTTTTCTTTGTTAAAGGTGCTGCTTGGGATAAAGTTTTGTGCACTCGTTGGGGGCTCCTTGCTCCAGCTAAAAATTGGTCCTTTCTTTGTTCCTGATGTTGATGGATCACTTTGCTCAAGCCCATCGAGTACTGCAAAAGGGTTGTGCAACAAGCTTGGGTTATTGGGATAGTTATTACTGGGTTTATTGTACATACCTGGTGTCCCTTGTGTTGATGCATATCTTCTACCCCTCTTTAGCGCGTGGCTCCATTCTCCCACCGTTGATTTCTTTCTTGATTCTTGTGCTGTTGCTACTGCATCTAATCTATCCGTTGGGTTGGAAGTGGGCCCCGACGATCCTCCGTCTGAGACTGTTGATTCCTTCCTTGGGATTTCGTCGTTGGTGCCCGTTGCAGCTGGTGGTTCTGGCGTGCCACAATCCTCTTTGAGATGGCTGTATTTTCCGCAGCTGTAACAGATCTTCTGTAAATCTTCAAACTCTACGGTGTATTCCTTTCCATCAATTTTTGTCTTCCCTTTCAAAGTTTTGGTTAGATCTAGCTCTACTGCTAGTCTAGCGTACTGGTCTCTCTCCACCGACAGGGTGTTTCTATCTGCTTTAATGTATTTCCCTATTGGTTTTGCTATGCTTCGGAGGAGGTTCTCGTGAAAGTATTCCACAGGTAAGCCTGGGATGCAAATCCAAGTTAGTCCAACATCAATGTTCTCCTCTTTTATGTTGAATTGTTTCCTCCACGGAAGGACTAGGATATAGCAATCATCAAGGGACCAAGGTGCGTTTAGCAGGACAGTGTAGTAGTCCTCCTCTGTTGTGACTCTCATTAGATGATATCCGTCAATTGTGTCCACCAGCTTAAGTTCCCCCTTAATTTTCCGCAGCCCTTTGAGTCTCTTGTGGAGGCGATCACGACGGAATTCTTTCGCAAGTGGTTTAACTGCGATAGTATATGTCATTGCCACCACCATTTGTTTGCAAACCTGTTTGGAGAAATTGGTTGAAGGCACGCCATCTTCCTCACCATATGTAACATCGCTATCTTCAACTTTGACCGTGGTCATGTGGAAGTTGTTGATGCATTGATCTCCCTGGCCCTGAATTAGCCGATCTCTGAAACATGGTATGCCGTCAGCCGGAGTTGCTGTGGACCTAGTTGAATCTGTTATATTGATGTTGGACTGATTGATAGTGTTCTCCGACAATTGTTATTTGCTTTTCACTTTTTTGGCAGCTGGGTTATCCTTGTCTGGATCTAGTGTGCTGGAATCAGCCATGTCCGTGTCCATTTTGGACCAGAGGAGAGGATGATGAGATGAACAGTTTATGAGTTACAAAGCTTTTTTCTAGTGAGAGAACTATTCTAGCTGATGATGTGCCTATTTACAAACCACAAATCTTTGCGAATTTGCATTTGACCAACCGAAGTGATCGATCGTCATCTTAGGATATGGAGCACTCACATATATATTGTTGTTTGTGCAAGTCAAAACCGGCATGAAATGATTATGGGTTACTAATAATATTCCAACCCACCAAGCTTATTGGGCCGACCAAATCGTTTTGATTTCACAGGCATAAGATTTGATGTGAAATCATCCAATTCCATGATCAAGATAACACTTACCACCAATATTTGCAGGATCGTGATTCTACGCAGGATCAAAATGGGGTAGTAGGATCGGATCGTAAATAGGATCGGTAGGATCGAAAAAGTAGGATCGTAAATTTTTAAAAAAATTTATACATTATAAACAATTACTAACAATAATTTTTAGATTTTTTTTAAAGCTGTATAATGCATTCATTCTAATTTCTAACTAAAATACGGGCGATAATTGTAATTTTGTATTTAATCAATAATATGACAGACAAAAGAATAAGTAATGTTCCAGTTACAAATTACTAGTACTTTAATAAGTTGTGTATGATTATTTTAGAGTGATTGAAAATTATGATTAAGATTAAGAAGAGAAAATGGCGTGGACCAAATACAAAACGTAAACTAAAGAAAGGCTTATGTCATCAATTGAGTCATTGACCAATTGATCATTCTTTTTCTCCCTCAAGGTCACGAGTCTGTTAGCAGAAGAGTTCCGGCGAGAGAACAAAACAGAGCATATAAACTACGAGATCCTTTTCTCAATTCTATTAGAGTAATCCTCCTAAACAACTCTAAGGAACTCAATTTCTTCCACTTTATCACTCTTTTCATCTTCTTTTTAAAGTTTTTTTCATGAATTGGAGTAAACCAAGCCCATAAATTTTTTGGAGGCTGAATCGGCGGACTCGAACAATCCTACGCGATTCTACGATCCTGTACGATCCCGTACGATCCCGTACGATCCTGCTCCCGCAAAAAACGAGTTTAATCGATCCAGTATCGATTTAGTGACCTAGGATCATGCGATTCTACGATCCTAGATCGCGAGTTTGCAAACACTGCTTACCAGTATACATGCACTTACGCAACATTAGCAAAAAATCGTCTTAAAGCTGATTTGAATAAAACAGTACAATAGATCTTTCCTATTTTTCGCAACTCTCACAAACTCGTATAGGGATAAAAGAATTCTACATCGCTCGTGTTGAGATTGATTTATAAGTTTCTCGAGTCACTCTTACTCTTAGTCATCGACAATTGATTTTCGAATAAGAGTCCAAATTGTTTTGTCAACTCGTCCTACATTAACTTTCATATATATGATGAGAAAATATATACAATCTACCAGACATATGGGTGCGGGAACATCCTTACTCGTGTGTACGAGATATCTCGCGACCGGATTAGTGACTTTATTGATGGTGGACACTGTACCATATGAAAAAAAAATAATGTATATCAATTTATTGAGGTTGGATATTTATTTTCATTTACTTTTCAGTATTTTTCAAAGTAAACCCTCACTAGAAACTGAAATCAACCAAAAATAAATAAATAAATAAAAATTAACATACCTTTAATATAATAAACGTATGCAACCTAGTCACTTAGAAGAATTTGATTCAGGCCTTCATTTGGTCAAATTCATTATTAATCGGAGTTACGTGAATCCCAAAAAAGGATAAAAATAATTAAGAAATTAAAAGCAGAAGCAAAAACATGTTTGCATACACTTAGAGGAAGCAAGTCAATTTGGAATACAAAAAGTCCAAATTCAAACTGATTGTGAATCTTCGAACATGAAAGTCAGATGCGTAATCTTTTACGGTGTACAATAAATAACAGTCAATGTGAAAAAACATCAAATTCAATTCCATGTGTATAAGTTCTACGAAGAACGTACCTAAAGATAGTGTAGCAGAAATCAATGTAAAAAAGGGAGCGTATAATTTGATGCAATGTGATAATGTAGGATGTTCTTTGAACACATATGTTTTGACGTTTTGATTTCAAAAAAGAAAAGAAGAAAGAAATCACTTTGTTTGAGTGTTTTCAGTGTACATATATAAGATGAAATCTCATGAATAGAAAAAAACCAAAAACGTCCTTAATATGTAGTAGTACCGTAAGAGGTTCTTTTCATGATCCTCATGAACTCTTCAAAACTGACTTCTCCATCATCATCTCCATCAGCTACCCGAACCATCTCCTGGATTTCTCTCTCGGTGAAATCTTCGCCTAATTCGCGAGCGGCGAGCCGGATATCCGCCGTGGAAATCTTCCCATTCTTGTCCAGGTCAATGATTTGGAACGCTCTCCCGAGTTCCTCTTTGTTGTCCCTTTCTCCAATCTTGGCAGTCATCATGTGCAAGAATTCCTCAAAGTCTATGGCTCCACTCCCGTTTTTGTCTACTTCAGCAATCATTCTGATGATTTCCTCTTCCGTGGCTTCGAACCCAAGTGCCCTCATTGCGACATTTAGTTCCTTGGCATCAATCGTGCCGGAACGATCCGTATCAAACAAATCAAACGCCTCTTTTATTTCCTGTCTCCTTTGCTGTGTTATGCCATGGTGTTTTGATCCCTTAGGGTTATCTTTTCTGCTGGAAGGCCCGCCTCGGCTTGCCATTGAGATCTGTCTCTAGTCTAGAGGAGAAGATAGAAATAAATGTTAAAAAATGTTAGAGCAGTTCGGTCAGTTTGACTTACGTCTACAGGCAAGAACAAATATCTTATTGACTTGCAGAATTACTTCACAAGAAAGTATATAACCCTATATCTACTCATCGTATTTATAAATCCAAGGAGAGGTTAATCCTAAATGTAATAGAACCTTATGTCTACTCCTTGTATTTATAGATCCAAGGACAGGTTAATCCCAAATGTAATAGGGAACTAAAACCCAGTAGAATAGGGAAACTCGTAAACTTAAATAGATTTAGGAAACATGCCTAAAACCAATTCCCAAAAGGAATTTAAGGCATAATTTAATAAAATGAAATACAGATCAGGTCGAATATGCGTTGTTATTGTCCGCTTAGAACACTTCATTCTTAATGATGAAAAAAAGAGATCAAATTGCTGACCCGGGATGCATATACATGCATCTAGCCATGTTGAATTAGTGTATATAACTCATTACCAGCTATTTTTCTGAATGGATTGTCATAGATTAAGTGTAACTAATCTTCTCAACTTGATAGTCGTTTCAAAAGGTTGTTTACTTTTTCACAAAAAAGAACGACCAATCGGGTTGACTTTTATTTTTCCAACCATTGTTAGCTGTATGCAATAGCATTGACCGATTAAGATATGGAAATTTCGTGGGATACTTAATTAGCAACATGGGTCGAAGATCAGGATCTCTACGAATTTTAGAAGTACTTGATAGATTTATGGTTTGGAAGCCCTTCTTCATTGATTGATCATAAAAGTTCACAACCCTTTAGGCAAAAGACTTTTTTCATATTTATTGTTTTAATATTATTTTTTTTTTTTGGGTGGGGAATATTGAAGCCCATGGAGTTCCACCTCAAAACCAATTGGCAATGAGGGGAGTAGTCCATGTATTTTTATATTGATATTCAGTCTCTCCCAACACCAATGTGGGACTTGGATTCTCAATACTCCTCCGCAAGTCCAACGTATTTTTTGGGTTGGGTTTGGCCTATTTTTTTTCAGCTCAGACACCGCCTCACGTCTTAGTCCTATTATTTTATTGGGCTTTTTGGAATCCGAATATCGGCGAGCTGGCTCTGATACCATATAGAAGCCCATGAGATTCCACCTCAAAACCAATTGGCAATGAGGGGAGTAGTCTATGTACTTTTATATTAATTTTTAGTCTCTTGCAACACCAATGTGGGACTTGGATTCTTAATAGGGAAGACAACCCCAAATTTCGATCATGATCAGCCTATAAGAAAATAATGGTTAATAGAAGAATGATATATACTGACTGGCTGTCTATCAATAACACTTAGATTACAAATATTTTTCTTGGTTTCAAGGCGCTGTGTGCTAACTTGTTTAGATGTTGCAAGGATGACTTTTATTGAATGCAGTTGACTTTCTCAAAAATAATATAGACAATTCCGAATTTCAGTTTTTCATTATTGATAAGTGGTTAAGCACAATGTTTAAAATTTTATATTGATAGTAATCCAGCAATCCAAACTTATCAAGCAATATTCGGCTTCTATACGTTTTAATTAATGTAACTTGAGCAATTGTGGTTTTCAATCCAAACTTATAGAACTCATATATAAATTGACATTTTGTGGTTTTCAATCCAAATCAGTGCAGGAAGAACCCAGGATGAAGAGAGGTTATGAATGTTAGTAGAATGAATGTAGTTGTCAAAAATGTAACTTACGGTTCAAAGGAGCCGTAAGTTCTATCTCCAGAAAGAATTGTCACCTAGTTTTGCCAACAAGTATCGCATGTGAATATTGTGCTAAGAGAGACACCAGCCTTCATACAAGGGCAACGGAGCAAAATTCAGAAAGCAAGAATAAATCTTACTGTTGAGCAAGGAGTAATAGTTACAGTTGAGACTTTTACAACAAGGGCAATATTTGTTCAATCAAGTCACAACATGACAGAAAAAAAGTCCATAAAGTTCCTCCTTCCAGAATGGCAGGATTTGCACAAAGAAATTTTCAGATTTTCATTTAAGTGCTGCTAATGCACAACGAATGCCGAGACAACAAATTTTCTTGCATGTAATTTCAAGTTACAAAGTACCTGGTATTTTGCATTTATGCCTCGTGTGATTTACTAAACGGAAGCTGCTCAGCTTGAAGTGTTTCAGGTTATTTAAAGATTCCTAACATGCTAGGTTGTAATTATCACACGGTAGGAACATGCAGCACCGCAATCCTCTTACTCTGCTGCTGACATTACGGTCGTGGTTGGCAGGACAACAAGGATCAGTGTCTTTTTGATAGCATCTTATATGAAACTCTTGATCAGAGAATAGAAAAGGCTAATGTTATTAACAAAGTAAGCAATTTGAACAATATAAGCATAATTTGTGTATTTCATTTACCAAGAAAAAGTTATTCAACTAATGGAAATGAATACAAAATTAATCCTACCAAACAGGTGCGCTTTCGAGATGGATGAATATGAACCCAGCAGACCTGAAAAGTTGAACAAATGAAATAGCTAGAGATACAAGTAACAGAAATTAATTCAATTCCAAATTACCTTGACATCATTCTGGTGGACATGGCATACAAAAGAAATAAAGCACAGGTACATCTGCCTGGTTCAGCTTTAAGGAAATCCTACAAAGCCGAAGAATGAAGAAACTAGATCTTCAATGCAAGTACGATGCTTCTCCCACTCCGCTCCATTGTCTTCCAAAGCTCTGTCCATAAAGCTCTCATAGCCATCACAGAGAAGAGAGAAATTAATGTTCGGTGGTCAAATATAAAACGGTATCATATCATAATTAACAAGATCTGGTCCAATTGCATTGCAGTACTATAAAAATCAGCACCAGTGTTCACTTGCCTGCAGTGATGAATGGATGACTCAATGCTTGTGACACTGTAATTCTTTTATCAGGGTCCAAGATGAAAATCTTTTCAAGAAGATCTTTAAAATTGGCTAACATCTTTCGATCATCACCCGGAGAGCCCTCTATCAGAGTTCCGAAACCTTTTGGCTTAACATTTATAATCGCTTTCCTGATCAAAGCCTGCTTTGTCACAGGGTCTTCCTCTACGGCTAGATAATTCAGATTCTCATCAAAATATTGGTCCTTAAATTTACCCTTTTGAACCATCTTCTTTGGAAATAAACCTTTAAGTTCCATCTGAAGTCGAAGCATATCGCTATTTGTAGCACCAGGAAAGAGAACTTTCCCGGTAAAAATCTCAAACAAGCAGCAACCAACCGACCACACATCCAAGGGATGATCATAAGCCAATCCTATAATTATTTCTGGGGCGCGATAGAAACGGCTCACTAGATATGGGGCAGGTTCATTTTTTCCAACAAACATTGCGCTGCCAAAGTCGGAAAGCTTCAATACATTGTTTGCTTCATTCACCAGCATGTTATCAGGCTTAATGTCACAGTGAAGCACACCGCAGTTCTTTATATGCTTCAATGCTAGGAAGAGCTGTCTCGCATAAGCCCTTACAGCTGTTAATTTAAGTCCAATATTGCGACCATACTTCTTTAAAAGCTCGCGAAGATCCATATGAAGAGATTCAAAAACTAAACAAAGATGATTCCGATAATTAAAGCTGGAAAGAAGACGAACACAATGGCATTGATTCTCAGGGTCAGCAGCTGCCAATTTATTCAATATAGCCAGCTCTCCCATACCAGCTTTATACATTATCTCATTATTTCGGATGATTTTGATAGCTACTTCTTCAGGTTCACCTAATTTGGCGTTGAGATCCTTCGCACGAACTACAGTAGAAAACACTCCTTTCCCATGCGCAGCAATGATCTCAAAGCGACCATCAAGTATTTCTCCAAAACGATATCTATAATACCCTTCGGAATCATCCCAATTGTCTTGCTGGCCACTCCCTTCGATCGCGAGACCATCTCCCTCACCCTTTCCACGGACACCAGCTGGAGATTCTCCAAACATATCATCACAGAACATATCTACTGATGGTTTCTTAAAAGCAGAAATTCCATTTGGTGATGGCATGTCAGCTACATCAGTAGCTTTAGAACCAACAATCAAGGGACTCAGTTCTACTTCCTCCTTTACTTTGTGTTCAGGTTGAGATTGCTGCTGCAAATTCTGAGTTTTTTGGTTTTGGAGAGCAGCTTGCATCCTCCTCCTCCTACTTTCCTCCATTATTTTCTCAAAGCCATTCTCCTCTTCTTCCAGTTCTTTCAACTGCAATAACACTCTCTTTTGATACTCTTCCTCTTCCCTTTTAGCCTTCTCCTTTTCTTCTTCAGCTTCCCTCTTAGACTTCTCACCCTCTTTGTCAGACTCAATGGCCTTAGAACTGTCAACCTTATCAGCCTTATCATCAATTTCTCCATGCCTATCTTTGTTTCTATCAATTGCATCATGTCTTCTACCCTTGTAATCATCTCGCCGATCATCATTATGTTTAGAATGGCTGAAATCCTCTTCAACTCTATTCCTATGTCTATCTCTGCTGCTCCTTTCATCATGCTCCTTATTCTTTTCCCTGTCCCTTTTTCTATTCAAATCCTGGCTTCCTTCTATGTTTCTGTTACCAGTTTCTCGACTGTGATGCCGATCTGATCGACTAGAGGAATGCTTCCTTTCGTGATCACTTGGCAAATCTTTGGAACCATGTCTATGGTGGTGGTTCCTGCTATCATCTGAATCATTAGCCCTATGCTTTCTCTTTGAGCTATAACCTTCATCATGTCGTTTAGAAGTATATGGCAATGAACCCTCTCTGTAAACACTCTGTGACCGCGACCTTCCCCTAGACCGTTCCGGTGAATTCAGACGGCTACCACTTCTGGCTTGGCCGCGTTCTGTTTCAACAATTTCTCCTTCCTCCACAGCAACTTCACCACTTGCAGTGGCAGGAGGTCGACCGGAGGAGCCTGAATCGGCCAAATCGCTATTCCTTTTCTCTTCGAATTCTACGGCACGTTCAGACGCATCCTCGACGATTGGTTCTTCCTTATGGCTGCGTTTATGATGTCGGTCTTCATGGCGGTGATGCTTGTGATGCCGGTGGTGGTGGTGGCCGTTCTTATGGCGTTTCGAAGGGTTTTCGTCGTCGTTTTTGGCTTCGTCAGACGGGGAATTGTGGCGCTTCCGACGAATAATTTCAGTTGATTCGCTAGCCATGAGAATTCAATTGAATGAATTTCCGTTTGAAATTGAAGACAAACGCACCGTCTTATACAAACTCTAAACCAATCAGATCAAAAATTGGGTCAAATTCAGTTATGCCGCCTCGGACTCGGATGGTCGCAATTTATAAAGAGGGAGGAAGAGATTCTATTGATCCAAATTGCATTGGATTCAAGTAAAGTTACTAATTTACCCAGCACCGACCAAAAACATAATCGGACCCTCGATCCCACTGGGAATTGGAGAAATGCGATCATATACATATAGTAGTACGATACTAAGGTAACTCGGATACGGGGGTGTCGTATCGGGTAAAGGGATATGGGTATCGGACTCGCTAATATTTTAGAATCTTGGACATTCTAAGCTAAAATGTCACACCCGACAACCATACTCATACCAGTTCACGACACGGGTATTCTCTCCAAATTGAAGAGTCCGGATAACATAGGTACAATACAATGAATGAGCATTAAAAATTTGCCCTGAAGTGTTTGGAGCAAAACGGAGACAGGAAATAGAAAAGACGCCGCCGGCTCGATCATTCTAACACAAACTTCTGCAGATTAGTAATCACGTTTACTTCATCGTTTTGATGTTTATATTAAGAATCTCTACGAAGTCAAGTGGTCTAAAAGGCTCAAGTTTACTAGCTAACTGGTTTGTCTTTCTGTGACATCGTTGTTCCCGAGTTCAGATAACTGAATTTCATCATTTGTGGAAATGTTGCCCTGCACAGACTCGCTAACTTGGTCTCCTTGTGCAGATTCTTGATTGTGAATATGTAGATCCAAAATTTTTCCGCTGAATTGAACTCTGGTTTGCTCCTTCCCTCACTGCTAGGATTGCCCCTGAGAAATGGCTACCCAGTGGAGATCCTACTGGAAATGCCTGGATTACACATCATAAGATAAGGAGGTATGAAATTTAAAGCAACTGCAAGAATTCTTTTCAGTTATTAAAGATACTAGTTATGAAACTGGCCGTTTAAATTTTTGGCGTAGTCGAATCGTCTTCATGTTTCAGAATGACTGGCCTGGTTTTTTCTGATTTGACTTGTATCTAATTTTTTACTGTCATAAAGTTTCTGTCTAATTCATTTTCTACCTAAACTCAAAGAGGTGAAGGAAGAGAGAACTTACAAAGGCGAAACCATCAGTCTGATATGTAGGTCCAATAGTTTTATACTCAGAGCCATACGCAGCAAGAAACAGGTTCAGGTAAGGGACTTCATCAACTATAGCATCAATTCCTCCATTTTCACTCCCTCGAACCATAGCATCATGATATTCCTCAACACTTGCATATTCCCTGATTTTTGACTCATTGAAATGCAGATGGTTTATTAATAAATCCCTTATAAAGCTACCCTTTTGAATGCCAATGTAACCATTACTTGAGAACCTGTAGGTTAATTGATGTACTGTAATTATTGAAGATAAAATTGCAGTGTAGCTTTGCATTAGGATGAAAGCCATTAGTAACCACACTACGATCACAAACCTTGACCATTTGTTTGTGACCAAGTCTCCTGTCAATAAGCAAAAGAATATTTTGCATTACTTGAATCAACTATCTTAAGTAGCAGCAACTAATTAGCAGTATAGAATAGATAAATGATTCTCCTAAGTTACAACATTTTGGAAGGTACGCAACTTCAATTCTAACAAGCAGCATTGGAGATGAGAACAACTTACTTTCATTAAAAGCTAGAGCTGTGATAGGCAAGGACAAGCCAAGTTTCTGTTTCTTTTGTGCAACAGAATCCGAATTGCAGTTTACCCTATGCTCCAGTATTTGAAGGACTACGCCGATACATATGCAGGTACCAAATATTAATAGCCAAAGATCCCACTTAAAAGGCTTAACAAAGCTCCATATGTCTCTCTTGTTCCTGTTCCCGACCACCATAATGCTTCCTGGTTCAGAATATGGAAGAGTGAAATCCACATAGTTTGCTCGATCAGCCAAAAGTGTGATGTCCCCAATAACAAGATCATAGGTCTATTTCAAAAGTAAAAGCATAGGATAACACCCATTACATTGATGCAACATAAATCATATGATTTGATTAATTTCTATAACAAAATCAAAGGTGAAAAAGGGAAAAGAGAAAGCTAACCTCATTCTGGAGCGTATGAAGAAGATCACTGTATGTTCCACTACTGAGCTCGTTTTCATTTGTAAAGGGTAAAGTTCATAATCCATATGGAAAGGTAGCTGCAAAACTACCGAAATAAATATGTCAGTTGAATAACCTGTAACTTGCGTCTTGTTTGTCTGAGGATCTTGTAGAACATCTATGAATTGCTTAAATCTATCGTTCTTAAGAACTCCTACTCTAAGTATCCCGGTTGGAGAAATTGCCTATCCTTTTGGTTTCTGTACTGCATCTCCAGGCCACACGATGCCTTTCAACACGTCTGTTGAGGTCGAATATTGTCTACCTTTTGAAGATAATCTTCGCATGATGCTTCCATCAGAAGTCCAGTAACCAAATGCCTATACTATCCGTGATGATCCAGGCATACCCTTCTCTAATAACTCCAGACTGTTTGGCTAGAAGAAACAACCTAGATCCAAGGTTAGTGTTCATATGCACAATGATGAGCCTATTCTGCACAACTATCAGCTTTTTTTAATATTATGACAATTTCACGGTCTTCAGATGATGTTGAGATGGGAAACATGTATGCTAGCTGAATCTGAACCTCTAGGAATGCATTGGCTACCTTGCCAAGAAATTGGCTACCATATTCACTATCTTCATATAGAACGACAGCTTCATGCCATTCAAATCCTTTGCAGAGAGAAGCAAGAGCTCTTGCTTGGTTTGAGTCATCTGGAGTCGTCCGGATGAAGTAAGGGCTTTGCTTATATGGAATATGTTGGCTTCTGGCAGTAAGAGATATAACAGGAACCTGAGCTTTTTCCTCCAAGTTCTGCTACAAAACTGTACTCAGTGAACATTTGTCCGCCTAAGATGCTATGCACTTCTTCATTCTTAATCAGTTCAATTGCTGCATTTCAATCAAAGAAATAATGTTGAACACATGTGATCCAATTTGTCCAAAATTATTTGACTGCTACCTGTTTTACGCTTCCTGAATTTCACTAGAAAGTATGATAAAATGGAAAAAAGAAAGAAAAAGAGGACTTTTTGTATTAATGTTCACTAGCAAAAGACGCAAAGATAACCTGCAGATGCCACATCAATGTTATCCTGAGTATCCCTCCTGCGGGGAACTACTCTTGTCTGATAATCCGGATGCGCTTCATAAAAATCCAAGATTGACATTGACATAGATAAATCCACCATGGCATCCATAGGGGATGTGGAATCCAGAATCAAACCGAAGTGAACAGGGGAATAAGATGGTGCTGAAGTTTCATTACTTCCATCTCCTCCTACAGCAGCTGTCACATCCCACAAAAGGAATAGTACCAACAAGTAAGTCAAGCAAAGGAAGCTTTTGTTTGAAAGCATCCTGAAACTTTTCTGTACTAAAGTTGCTAATTAGAATCTAACAAAAAGTACTTTTACTTCTGGTAAGGTAATAATGAGAAGAGTGCGCAAGGAAATAACCATAGGACTGAACAAATTATACATCGTTTTCAACTCTGATGAGTTGACCTGCAAAAGTTTGATAGTTTCAAATTTACATACTCCTAGTTGACAGATTGATAGTTTCAAAATAAATAAAGCATCTGGCCAGCTTGAAAGTTCGTGGAACTTACATGGAATTAGGTAAGGAACTCACATTGTTTGGAAATTGCTTCTCGTCAGACCTCAGCAGATGTAACAATGGAAGTTTTAGGAAATTGCTACTGATATATGTCATCAGTTGCTTGAGTTAAAAAAATAAATCTGACAACACACACGCAGACAAAATTCTCTCAAGACATCAAAATTGCGACGCCAGTTCTTGAAATAGTATGCCTAACCTAAAGAAAGAATCATTTGAATACTCAAAATATGAACCATCTCCCCAGTAAAATCGAAAGTTCACTTTTTGTATCCATCCTGGCAAATGTTATCAATGGTATGCATGAATGTGTCAGTTGAAGTGTTGAGTAGAAAGTGAAGGGTAGAAATTGTTATTACCATGAGATTGGAAATTAAGTGTGGAAGTAATTCAGTCTATAATTATAGCCAATATATTGTGCGTGTCACCTTGTCTCAACTTAAATGGGGATCCAGATGCCTAAATTGCCATTTCTTGAAAGAGGAATTTTAAAGGAAAAGTTTCATAGCTATAGTTGTGTTATCTAATTTTCAACTTTGTGATAATGAAAAAAAAAATTAAAAAAAAAAAATTTGACGAAAGAAATTAATAACACCTCAAAAAGGTTGAGGCATAGGTTTTGACCCTAAATTTCGTGTAATCTTTTGAGTTTTAACCCTAAACTTCTGATGGCATTTCAGAGTGAAGCAAGATTTCTCTAACAATTCTTATTTTTAAGCATCATCTTACGGAACGACTAGACTGTAAGGAAAACAACTAAAGTTCACAAATTACAGAGCACAAGAACAAGATTCATCATCATAATACCGCAATACTGCTTGTTGTTTCTTTGGTTAACGCGATATTGCTTTTCCAACTGTGTAGCTAAACAAGAACTACTAAGCTCATAATCTATTTCCTGAGACAAATTAATCACTGATACAGTTGCCTTCCACTCCCGTGCACCCAAAAAAATGGCCACTGAAATCAGCATCAATCGAGCAAAACATGAACCATTATGGACAGAGCAGACCTCGCATATAGGTTCTCCAGAATCACGTGTAGAATATCATGACCTAACCAAAATTGCTATGGACTCCCATTCCAAACCACAGAGCACATCCTGCACGTTAACACGTACCAATCAAAGACAGCCGGAACGTGTATATTATCCCAAGTTTAACTGACTTTCATATCAACTCAAATAAAGGAAGCAAATGAAGAAGAAATACCAACCGTAGGGTTTTGTCTATCAATGTCGAAACTGTTGATGGCACAGGGTTCAGCCAAAAGTTCCATTGGTGCTTCATCTACCCAATATAACACAAACAAACAAAAAGTAAAAGATCAAAGATCACACACTCAGTAACCGAAACAAGCACCCACCATGACCACAAAATGGTGCTATGTCAATATGGAACAGAAACTTATGCAGGCATCTGTTTGTTCTGTACAAAATTAGAAAAAAGAAAATTAGATAAGGAAAATTACTCTGCTCAACCACGGCTAGAATACCATCTTCTGAGCAAATCATTGCAGGAAGAACCCGGGATGAAGAGAGGTTATGAATGTTAGAAGAATGACTATAGTTGTCGAATTGAACCTCCCAAACTTCACTTTCACAGGGAGTATAAGCAGAATTAGCAGCAGTTCCAGCCCCAGAAAGAATTATCGGCTGGTTTTGCCAACGAATATCCCATGCAAATACCATGCCCAGAGAGCCTCCAGCCTTTGGCAAAGGGAAAAGAAAATTTTTCAAAAAGCAAGAATATTAGAAACAGTTCAGGCTGTAACCTGTGCAACATATACGCAAATAAGTCACAATATGACAATAAAAAGATTGTGGATTCTCTTCAAGAATGGCGGGACTGCTTGTATCCAACAGTACCAAGAGAAACAATTTTCTTGCATAAACAAATTTCAAGCAAAAAAGTACCTAACGTTTTGCATTTCTGCCTCATAAGACTATAACAGCAAATGAGCCATCTAGAGTGATGACAACAATTTTTACATCCCTTGCATATTCCTATTTTCCTACCATGTTAGTGTTCCAAATATCACACAATGGAAACATGCATCACAGTTGTCTTATGAACCTGACACAGAAATTAGGATTGGTTGGCAGGTCATCGGTGATCATAGTCTTCTTAATAGCATCTTATATACAGTTCTACTAATAACTTTTGATACAATAACATATTTGAAGTGGTCGATAGAGTTGATCAGAGGATAGGTAAGGTACAAGTCATCAATAAATTAAGCATTTTTCAGGCCAATCTAAGCATTATTGATGTATTTCAATAGCCAATAAAAGATGATTCAACTAACAGAAATGGATACAAAATGAATCCTACCAAACAGGTGTGCTTTCGAGATGAGTGAATATCAATTGAGTGTATAATGCGAGAAGTAGACCCGGCAGACCTGAAAATTGAGCAAATGAAATTGGTAAAAGATAAAGAGTAACATAATTCACTTCTAGACATTAAAAAAAATAGAAAAACTGAAGGGAAATCTGCACAGTTCAGCTATATGAAATCCTACAGAGCCATAGAACAACAATGAAACCAGAATATCACAGCCAAAAATGGAAAGCACGAATTGAATGAGGTAAAGCCGTAAAGGTTATCCATTGAACCAAAGTCAAGCCACTTCAAGCAGCAAACTTTTAGCTAAATCTGTAAACTACAACAGTAGAGATAGACTAGCACCAACAAAATATTACCACAAAGTGGAGTGTGATGGCAGGAAGGTTAAGACTTTCATCTTTCTTTCTACAATGGATGGATAAAGCCACAGTATTTTGGATAGTATTGCTACTAAATGCTCTAAGTTAGTTGAATTTTCACTAATTTTTTCAGTACGGAGGCTCTGAAAAGATGTGCATTTCCAAGAATTCTAAATTGTAATGGTAAAGCCTAGCTACATCATGATATCTCAACAAATATTGCAGAAAAAAATCAGTTATATAACAACATGACAATTTGGGGAAGGACTAAAATCTACTAGCTTCATAACTGAAACATTCATCTATTTCACAAGCGAAGCCGAAATGATTGAATTCTTTGATTATTCATGAAACTCCAACTTACCAATTGCCTTTGTACTGAGATACCGGTCCACCAGGCCGCCTCTGATCCCACCATTGTAGAGAAAACCCCAACCCTCCAGTCACAAACTCCACAGGGGACGCCCACTTAACAGCGCTGTAAGAAACCAATCCATTACTATCAAAAACTCTTTGATAACTCCCATTACTCCCATTTCCCAAACCTACAAAATTGATCCTCCCATCTTCCCCAACACTCACAACAGAGTCAGACCCATTTTCGCCCAAATCAATCCCCGAGATAGTCCCGCGATGGAACCCTTTCCCAGACACCGAAAACCCAAAATCCAAGGACCCATTAAGCGAATCGGCAGTCAAAACCAGCAGCGACCCACTCAGAGTTGAAGCAGCAATAATCGGCTTCTGTGATTGAGGGGTTAAGAAAGTCTTAACAGAGGTAACTCTGGACGTGGTTTGGTACGACGATTGAAGAGATAGTTCCGGGGGAGGTGGAGTTGACTCTGAATGCGGGTTTGAATTTGGGGGGGAAGGGGTGTAAGTCAGTGTCTGGAGGGAAGAACTGGAGGTGTCGGAATCGAAGGTGGCAAGGAGAATGCGGCGGTGGAAGGCGGAGAGCTGGGGAAGCCACCGGAGGGCGTCGATGTAGCAGTCTTGAGGAAGTCTGTAAACTTGAAAGGGATTTGAATTGGGTTCGGAGTGGGGAAAAGCCACCAGAGCCATTGTTGGGGAGAGATTGTCAGGGTTTTAGCTGTGGGTTTATGATTGATTTTCTCTATGAACAAAACAAACCATCATCTATCACTCCTTACCAAAGAGGGGAAAAGAGGACTTTCTTTCTTGTTCATTGGCGTTAAGTGATTCTTTTTTTAAAAGAAAATTTAAAAAATTTATAGCTTTAATTTTTCAAAACAAGGCAAATTAATCATTGACTGAACTAACAAAATTGTTTTTAAATTTTTTTAAAAATGTAACAAAATGTATATGAAGCCGCCCGATTGATTGGGTTAAAATCAATTCTGATGGTACTTTTGATTGCAATTCGAGAATGACGAGTGTTGGTAGTTTAGTTCAAAGCCATTGTGGTCAGTGGATTCCTAGATTCGTAGATTCATGATAAATATTGGCTTTTGTACTATTACTGGAGCAGGGGTCTCTTACATCTTGTTTGGGAGCGTGGTGAACGAAGAGTAAAGGTAGAGGTGAATAGTCAGTGTGTTTTGCAGATGGTGATGAATGATCATGATATAACTGAATCCATGATAGTTTAGTTCGTGCAATCAGAGAATTATTACTGCGGCCATGGTCGGTAGAAGTGATACATATTTGACGCAAACCAAATTGTGTAGCAGACTATTTGGTGGCGTTAGCTGCTTAGGGTTCTGGTGGTTTGACGATCTTACAAACGCCTCCGGTAAGAATTTATTACAGCGGCCATGATCCGTAGAAGTGACACATATTTTGCGCAAAGCAAATTGTGTAACAGATTATTTGGCGGCGTTAGTCGCTTAGGGTTCCGGTAGTTTGACAATTTTATAGACGCCTCCGGTAAGAACTTGATTATAGTTAGACCATGATGTTATCGAGTCTCGTATCCTAGATTTGTGTATTGCTACAATCTCTGGCATATTGCCTCCTTCATAGTAAAAAAAAAAATGTGTATGATATCTTTTATGGGAGGGAAAAAAAAAGTTGGATCGTCCAACACTTCTATACTTATTATGTCTAACACTTTTCAAAAACTCAATGTGTCGACACCATACTCTGATACGCACAATTTAAATGACAAAATTAGATATCTAGATAGCCACTCAATTTTGAGGCAAAATTTTTGGGAATGTTCAAAAGTTTTAATTGAAATTCACAAGACGTGTTTACTCTCTTATGAATTTTATCGTCCTTGTAACTGTTGTATTATTCCTTGTAGGTTTTGTGGTAGAATAGTTAAATTGGTACGTATGGAATTAAAGTGTTAAGAATTTTTATTTTTTTTAACTAAAAAAAAAAAGTGGATAATGCTCAAATTCAAAGAATACTTACATGGTGGTTCAATTTGTGAAAATGATTCGAAGGGTTGTTCATTTGTTCTTCTCAACTTCTCATTATTATTCATTATCATAACAACGCAATAATGTTGGTTTTGCTAGCTTGAATTTGAAGTTCGGGATTGAATGATAGCCATTCATTTCCATTCTACTATACCACAAGAATATGATAACGAAATTGCAAGCTACTTTTCACTGTTGTTTTTTTAAGAACAAAATGTTGGTACTAGATAATGCTATACTTTGTGGTGGAAATGGCATTTCTCATCTCTTCTTGCTCGAGAAAAGAAGCACAAGAACTTGCTCCATAGTCGGATTTGCAAAAAAGAACAACAATTTCTCTGAAAATTCAAAAGCTCAACAACTCAAAATATCACGCACACTTGTCGCGCAATCTGCAATTGGAGTTTTCGCATTAGGCTTCGTGGATTCCGGGTTAGTATTTTGCTTCCTTTTTTTTTTTCAGTCATCTTTCTCATTTCTGAAACTCAAAGCTAATCAAAACATCAATTAACACACAAAAAAAAAAAAAATGATGCATGATATGATTCAGGTATAGTGGAGATTGGTCAAGAATTGGAGTGATATCAAAAGAGGCTGAAGATTTTCTTAAATTGGCTGCTTTTTTTGTTGTGCCTTTCTGCTTCTTCCTTGTACTTTGGCTTTTTAATAAGCAATCAGAAGAAGAATGATTGATTGATCGATTGATTAATCAGCATTGGATTTTTATTATTATTATTGGGTCTTCCTCGAAAAAATCAATGATTTTGAGAAATTTGTAAATGTTTTTCTTAATAGCCACACATGTCGCCCAAATTCAATTAGCATCGGTTTTATATTTCTTGTTGCTAAGCTTAGCTAGTGTAATAATCATCATCAAATATTATGGTCGGGAATACATGCGCTTGTTATGACCGTCGAGTTTTAACTATTGTTCAAAAATAGTTGAAGATATTCGAATATTTGAATATATATATAATTACTTTCTTTAATGAATTTGAATTTTGATGGATTTTCTGCACCCAGTCTCCCTTTCTTACTTTTTTTTTTTTTTGAGCTTTACCATCATACCATTCTCTGTCCCTTTCTTAGGAGTAGTGATTCAATGACAAATACGTGCTTATCATTGAAGAGCATCCAACTTAACTTGTCCATAGCACTTTGAGCGGTTTATTTGTTTTCAAATTGTACAAAACCATAGCCCATGGACTGGCCATTAGAGTCCGTAGCTATCATGCATGAAAAGATGTTATCATGCTATCATGCAAGGCTTTATTGTCAATTGCCTTGTCCAAATTCTTGAACTTTTTTGAGCAAACCCTTTCTGCACGCTTTTAGGGGGAAAGGGAATTAGAAACAACTAAAATCAGAGGGTTATTTTAGTTCCAATAATTTGACCTTTGCATTCATTATTCGTAGCAGTTGCCTAAATGATCCACCATTATTATCATCATAAAAGAAAGATGTTTAAATTCATAATTTAAACTATCACTATCATGTGAACAATTAAATAAAAAAATCCCAAAAAACATGAAAGATCGAGGATGCAAGAGGATATACAATTGACCTCATATAAGGGTAATTTTGGTAAAAGGATAAAAATTTGCCCTGGATGCTAAAAGAGTTGATCTAACAAAATGACTGGTCATATTTGAAATAAGAGTGACTAACTCTAACCGTCTATTTTTTAAATAAAATTTTAACTGTTATATCGTGCTCGTTAAGTGCACAAAAGGAGAAACATTTTTAATATTCTCTATGTTCTAAAAAAAAAATCATATCCGGTTTATGAGATTTATGTGGAAAGTTTCAAAAATTAGTGTGAATTTTTTTCTTTGGTTGGACAAAAAGTATTGTTTTGTTGGACATAAAAAAGTTTGTTCTTTCTTCTCTCTCTTTATTCAAGCCAAAAAAACAAAAGAAAACTGAAAGATCATCAAAAAAAAAAAAAAAAAACTCCAAAATCATCTAGTAAGACCAATTAAATTATATACTACAAACCTGTCAAATAACATATTATTAAACTATCCAAATAATACATAGAATTATAAAATATATAATATGCACCAACACCGTGCAAATAAAGTAACAACACCATTTGAATCATTTTTTCCGTGTATGTGGTTATGTGTTTTTTTATTAAAAATTTAAAAAAGTATATTGAAAATATAAAAATATATATTGGGATGTCACATTTATTATTTAATAATTCTGAAAAAAAATAAAAAGAAAAACTCCGAGATAGTGAGACTATCAAGACTGAACCAGAGAGGGGTGAGATAGTACCATAAAAACTAAATTTGTTTGACCATTAAAATCTATAATAACTAGACCATCCAAAATAACACGTAATTAAAGTCTAATAAATTCGGATTAAGAAATACAACCATTTGAAAATTTTCATATGTAAATCTAATTTGTTGATTTGATATTTAGTAGGATTTGCCCGTTAAGTCAAACTAGAGTAGTTAGGGGCAAAGTTTAGCTCGCTGAAGCAGGTGAGGCAAAAAATTATACCCTGCCTCAATTCAATAGGTTAATTTTCTATTTAAGGGTGTTCCACTAAATTATCTGCTCTGCCTATTTAGGATGTACTCCCTCCGATTCTTATTATAAAGGATTTTGATTTCTCCCTAAGTTTCGCCTAGGATATCTTTTTAATTGGAATAAAAACCTTAAAAATATATTTTCACATTTAAGGTTTTCATTTCAATTAAAAAGATATCATAAGCGAAACCTAGAACGAAATCAAAATGTCTTAATAAGAACCGGAGGGAGTAGGTGTCTAATAAAATTCTAAATGTATCTTTAATTTAACTAATTACCAACCACCTAAACATTATTAAAAATCTAGGGACTAACAGAATAAAACAAGGTTTACTTTTTCTAATGATTTAAGATGGGATATTTTGAACTTGGGTCAATAAAGGAATAGTCATAAGTTGGGTGGCACTTTTCATCAGAAAAGCAAATTTAAATTTTTGTTTAAAATTTGAACCTCAAAGTGAATTGCATTTTTACTAATCTAAAATTCAAATTCCCTAAAAAAAATAACAAAGTTTACCTTGATTTTTTGTGTGAAGCCTTATTCTTTTGACCTCTCTGCTTGACCACAAATAGGAGGAAGGAGGCCTCGTTCTAGTATTACAAAGTGATAGCTTTAGCTCTATGATATTGTTAATAAAAAAATATCTATATTAAAAAAAATCTAATTTTAATAGTAGTATTTGTAATATATACGTAATAGAGCAACAAGCTATAATCACAATTATATACAGAGTAAGACCTTGTAAGGGTATCAAGATAAAATAAGTTAGTAAAACCTTGTAAGACCTTTATGTAGAAAATGGTAACTGAGTGGTTGGTTTGATTTAATTAGATAATTAAGGGGCTCGATAAACAAAAGAAATTTACAAGGAAACAGTCACCGATCTTCTGTCCACTCACCCGCCAACACCAAGCCCAAACACCCTCAAAGAATTATATATATCTATTCGTTTGAAATGTAATTGATCCTTATTTGTAGTAAAACATATGTTTTTTTTTAAAAAAAAAAAATTATATAACTTCTAATTAAAAGAGACTTACACGTGGCAAAAAGACTTCTGAAATCTGAAATATGGTGCATTGGAGCCAAAACAGATGCATACTTAGTTGCTACATAAGTTTCATGTCTTCTGCTTTAATAGGGTAAAAGGGATTAGTAAAGAAGGAGAATAGTGATTTAGCTAACTTTTGGACTCTTAACTTACATGCAATGAGTCAATTGTAAAGATTGTTAGTCTTAGCCTTGAGATAGTTTAATTTGTATTGTAAGTGCACCAATAGCGTAGAAATGATTGAATATAGTGGGAATTTAAAACTGGAAACAATGAGTTTGTATGAAATAAAAGAAGGATTTTCAGATTTGATTGGCCATTTTTGGGGTTTCGAATCTTCATAGTTTTGCAACTAATTCTGGCCAAATTTTGATCACACTTGTTTACCATACTCCAAGGTTAATCATCCATTCAATAGTTTGTTAATTGTTCCTAAGGATTTTCAATGCTCCTAGTTGAAACAAGATAAGTTTGGTTGTCATGTTTCTGAAAATGCAACAGAAAACAGATTTGAACCCCTCTTTTGTGAGCTCTTTTTCTCTTAGATTTGGAACTCTTTTCGGGGATTTCTTTTTATGATAATATTCTCCATTCAGTGTAGTTTCACCAGGTTTTTACGGATTGCAAAATGGATTTGTAGATTGTCCGAAAACAGGATTTGAACATGATCACCATTTTCTGAAATCTGTTCCGTGCTGCTGCTGTTGGAGACTCTGTTTCTCCTCTTAACTGAACTGTTTTATGAAAATTCTTTTTATGGATGTTTTCTATGTTTATTGGAGTTTATTACGGACCTTATGGATTGTAAAATGGAGCTACGGATTGCCCGAAAAGTGGATTCGAACTTAACTAAATGAATCTGGAAATTCTGCAGAAGCATTAGCTTTAAGTACTGATTTGGAGAACATCTTTTTCCTTGATTTTAAACTGCTTTCCTTGATTCCTTCTCATCAAATCTTTCCTTGATAAACTTAGTTTATAATGGTTTTAACGTGATGCCTTAAACAACGGGTAGGTTTAAAATTGAGGCGTCCGCTACGTCAGTTGGTATTCAGAGCCGACGTTCGTCCTGGAAGGTCGAGCTTTAGAGCTTTGTGTTCATCAACGGTGAGACGGATCGGTGTCCTCGGTAAAATTTCTTTTGCGACTGATTTGGGTTTTCATTGGTTTGGTTTTGTTTTGTTTGGATCCAATTGATCTATTGTAAGATATTAAGGCTCTGCATTTGTGGTTGTATTGTTGGGATTAATTTTATGAATTTTTGTTGTGGTTCAGCTGAGTAGAGTAATCAAGTTCATGTAATTACTTTTATTTGGGGATTCTTTATTTTGTTCGGACGGTTGAATATACGGCTAGTGGGATTACTTTTTATTGGTGTTATTAGCAAGTGGAAAGGGTATAAACTGATAAGTATAATATTTGGTTGATTGGGGTTTAGGTTTAGTTAGGTCTGTGATTTGGATGGCCATCATGTCTCCTCCAACTTGGATAAATGAACCCGGTTATCATGAAAATGATGAAGTTGTTGCTGAATTTTTTTCCCGAGAGTCGGATCATGATCCGTGGGAAAATACTCACATCGACTAGACGAAGCCACCAAAATTTGATATTTATCCCGATGATGATTTGGAGGGGAGTAGACTTGCCATTGTTGAGCTTTGTCAGCAAACAGATGAACGTATGGATGATGCTGAAGATTGGAGTAGTGCACTGTTTGATATTTTCCGTGACGATGGTGAGCACAACAAGGTCGGAGAATCTTCACCACGTCATAGTGATCCACATCATCTTAACCAATTGGCGAAAAAGATTTTTCTTGAGGTCTGGTGGACACTTGAAGAAAGTGGAGTGGTACTCGAGGGACTAATGGCAAGAGCAAGTTCTTGGTGCTTACATTTGCTTTGTGGTTGATGCAAGGTTCGTGAACCAGCAACAAGTTGTGGACTATGCATTTTTGAAGTTTTCCCCATTAACTTTGGACAAAGGGCACTAGACCTTCGCATGGAATTTGGGCGTCAGATTTCCAATTGACCGTGCCAAAGAAACTCCTCAACGCAAGAATTGGAGGGTTTGGTTACATTTTCTTTTGATCAGTGCCAAAGAAACTCCTCAACACAAGAATTGGAGGGTTTGGTTACATTTTCTTTTGATCATGGCAAACCTACATTTAAATTCGAGGACGAATTTTCTTAACTCTGGGGAATGATGGCGGTTAGAATAATACATTTAGGGTCTAGGATTTTTTAAGGTTATTTATGTAATTTTTATTACTTTGATTAGGGTTTTACTTTTTGTGTTTCTTCATATTTAAATGGACTTAGCCGCTCATGTACGAGAGTTGTTGATTTTATAAAGGTTGAGAGTTCATCTCTTTTGCTAATGATCCTGGTCCATTTGTTGATGGGATTTTTGATGCCTTGAATAACGGGTATTCGTGTGTCGAATTAACGGTATTTAGGAGGATTGTATTTTCGGATATTTATAGAATTAACAGATCGACTACGGTTATTTATTAGGGTTTAAGATTGAGGCTTCCGTTTTTTACGTCATAACGGCTCGCGAATTGGATTTTTCTTTTGATCAAAACTTTGTTTAGAACTGAGCAACTTTATTAGTAACTTGCTGAAATTTCAGAACATTGTAATTAAAAGGTCAATTGTGAGAATTTGGTTTTGATTTCTAACTACTCTTTTAAAATGTGGTTTCTTAGTTTCATTCTCTTACCAGCAAACTCTTAACCTAGAAGTTTAGTTTTTAAGAGTGACATCTAAAGTCTTAGGGGAATAAAATGGAGAATGCATCAGTGATGCAGGAAAAAATAAGAATTAGGGTTTAAGAATTATTAAAGAAATTTTAATTTAGGGATGTTTTAGTATTTTATAGAATTTTTAAGTTTTTTTTAGATATTTTTCTTTTTTAAGTTTAGGGTTTAATTATAAATAGGGTTGTTTTACGTTTACAAAGAGGTAGTTTTTATGATATTTGATAATTAAGTTTCAGAACTGCAAGTTCTCTTTTCACGGTTGAGTGCCTGTGTTGTGGTTTTTATTATTTTTTGTCTTAAAACTATCCTTCGTTCATGGTGATCATGAATAAAAGTGGTGTTCCTTCTTTACATGTTTTTGCCCGCATCAATTGGCATCAGAGCCATAGGTTTAAGCCAAGCCGTCAGAGCCGTCAACACTTAATTGCATGGTTGGAAGAACTAGAGGATGTGATGCAATAGATTGAGTGGGTCCGTCAAAGGGTTGATGATCTCCAGGATGGATTGAATCAATAACATATGTTTCTTCAGACTTACCAGAAGGTAATATGAAAGGTGAGATTTTCTCATGTGAATCAGAATTTGATTCAAGTGAGGACGAGATCATTGATTGGAGCAGGCCACCAATTTATGATGTTTACCCAGATGAGTTTTTGGATGAACTGGTTAAAGATGGTGTTCTTGGTCTTGTTCAAATTTCTCTACCAACTGAACCAGTAGTAGACAAGGAGGATTTGGAAGAGTTTGATGAGATTGAAGGCGGAGATGTTGATTTTTTTCCTTTGGCAAAACCTGAGAACAAAGAGGCGATTGATTTCCAGAATTTAGGCAGTGATGGTTTCGTTTTGGATGGATCTGATGAAGATTATATTCAGCAAAAATTGGGCTTTATTCAAGAATTTTGGCGACCACATGAAGTTATGATCCTTGTTAGTTCTATCAACTTAAAACTTGCATATCCGGTCATGGTGAGGAAAATTTATGAGTTCATGATCTGTTCAAAATAGCAAATTATTTATGCATGGAGAAGACGAAGAAAGAAGGCTTTTCGAAAGCAAAGGAAGCAATGGGTGGAGTAACTGGTGATCCTTTTGAAAATACAGGCAAAACTCGAGGTCGAGTTTTCTTTGAAGCAGGGGAGAGTTGATGCAGGAAAAAATAAGAATTAGGGTTTAAGAATTATTAGGAAATTTTAATTTAGGGATGTTTTAGTATTTTACAGAATTTTTAAGTCTTTTTAGATATTTTCTTTTTTTAAGTTTAGGGTTTAACTATAAATAAGGTTGCTGTATGTTTACAGAGAGATAGTTTTTTTTATAATATTTGATAATTAAGTTTAAGAACTGCGATTTCTCTTTTCACGGCTAAGTGCCTGTGTTATGATTTTATTTGTTTTGTCTAAAAACCATTGCCTTTGTTCATGGTGATCATGAATCAAAGTGGTGTTCCTTCTTTTCATGCTTCTGCCCAATCAGTGGCATTAGCACCATATTAGACTGGGAAAACTATTGCATATAAATATCACAGGCAGCTTTAGAACACAATTAAGTGAAAATAATTTTAATTACCCGATTAACATATTCGGAGAAGGATCATAATGAGTAAAGGGCAACAAGGTGAGTATTTCCTCTCACACTGTATATTGTAATCTTGTGTCTCCTTTAAGTGCATGATTGTTGAGTGTTACTTGCGTACTTGTTGAATTTTGTGTTCTTGAACAAATTGCAAGTTTGGTGTTGTTGTTTGAACTCTTGTCTATGTGATTACACTATTGCCTACTTGCCTGTTGAATTGAATTCTTTGACTCTTCTACTCAGTTGTGTACTTTACCACACTGAGATTTATTATTGACATGACTTGCCTTAGAAAGAAATATGTGCACATGAATTACTATGAAATTGTGAAGACTTGGATGCGTACTTATCACACCAGTCTTTGGACACCACTACCATAGATCGATTCCAACGGGTCAGCGATGAGCACAGACGTATGGATAGACTATATATAGTTTTAGTGGGCATGCACGAACTACGAATACTTGCTTTTGTGGCCACTTGGAGTAAAGGATGATCTGCTTTTATCTTGAATGATCTTAAACACTATTTGGAATTCAACTTGGAGGATGGCCAATCAGACCACATAGGTCTTTGGTAGTTCTCGGCTAAGATCCACCTGTATCCTCTCTACCTGTATCTTCGTGTTAATATGTTAATGACCTCGGTTACGGTCATCTTTTATATGTTCTGTGACTTATTTTTCTTTTACAGATACAACTCACCTCGAAGATTAAATTACTTTATTCTTTGATTAGATTAGAATGATAGCACTCTTTAGACAATGTTAATATATAAAGAAATAATGACTAAAATGAATTCTGTGAGTAATTGCTTGTGCATGTGACTTGATTACCGTATGGAGTGTGAGAGACTAGGAGTTGTTGTTTGAGGTATTCACTGAAATTTAAAGCTCATTCCGTCATTTTCCCACCACAGGTTAGCAGATGAGTTTTGTTTAGCAAGTAAGCTGTGCTGGACGAGAAGATAACTAATGGAGATTTCTTTAGTTTAGTTTGATATTTATAATTAGCTTGTACAAAATTTTGAAAATATCTTTTGTAATTAAATTTTTCCTATGGAAATTAGAAATTAACAATGTACAATTTTTAGTTGATTCTGTAATACAAGCCTTGGGCAAGAGATTGCCTGGCGGGCTGCTCAATTTGTCACCAAGCACGACTTTTAAATCGAGCTGGAGACTTGGGTCGTCACATTTTGTTTCTCTACCATTTTTAAAGAACAAAAAAATCAATACTGGGATAAGAATATAGAGGTTATCTGCTCTGATAAGAGGAATAGGAGTAAATGAGTAATTAGTCCACCAGTTACGTTTGAGGAGTTGGTTTAACAAATTTCAAGAAAAAATTAAAATCTTTGTTTAACAATGTATAATGTCTTCATAAGAATATTTTAAGAAGATTGAAGACAAAGTTATTAGTTAAATTAGTTTTATCAATTTGTGTGAAAATTAGTATAACCTTGTTGGATTAGGACGGGAGAGTAAATAATTATTATTGGGGTAAGGCATTAAATATTTTAAAACGTAGTGGCTTATCTTGCAATTTAGTGGTATATAGAGGGTATAATGGCTAGGACATTAAATAACAATCTACTATTAGAATGTTATGCTTCTTGCTAGGAATCTGAAATTCAATTCTCTTCAGGGTTCTTATAAAATGGAAATTCCCTATATTTATAGTTGGTTCCATTAGGTGGTTTTTTTTTTTCCTTTCTTTTCTAAGAAAATGGGTAAGGCAAATTTTGAGCTAGGGCAATTGTCTCACTGGCACCTCCATCCCTAGTGTTAGCTAGATGTGACGGAAATCGTGATTCACGATATTTAATCGAGGGGATTTTCATGTTTAAAAATTCGAGTTGTAATTCTAATCGGTGAAATTTATGTTACATATCTTTTGACCTTTAGATTCATGTTACAGATTTAGTATCAACTTCGATGGCTAGCTAGCTAACCAAAAACTACAAAAATTTTAATATCATAAACAAATATAGTGTTTGATAAGAGAAATTAATATCAGTTGGATGTGATGGAGATCGTGGCTTATATGATATATGAATCGTGGTGGGTTAAGCACGTTAAAAGCACAAATTATTTTGATAATTGGTGAATCTTATATCAGGTGCAATCGGTTTCATATTATAAATTTAGTAACAATTCCCATGTTACCAATTCTCACGGTCATCTTACCAAAAATTACATCATTTTAATATTTATGAAAAAAAACTATGTACATTAAGACATATTAGCGTTTGTTGGATCTTATGGTTACCGTATCTACGTGAGTTCCGCAACCTTAAAAAGAAAAAAAACTTGCGTGTTTTGTGTGTTTCAAATCTAAGATATGCTTATAATTCGAGAATCTCGTGTCAAGTAAGGTTATACTCATGTCGAGAATGTCGTGTTATAATTCGAGAATCCTGTGTCGAGAGTCTCCAGTGGCAGAACCAATAAGGGCCAGGGGGGTCTCGAGCCCCCTGGGCCGGTCGGACAAGCTCTCTTTTAAACTACAAAGGAAGCACTCATACAACAGTGTTGGTAGGATTTTCTTTCCCAGTTGCGTTGGTTTCAGAAGTTCCCTCGCCGGAACCTTGTCTATTGACAGCAGCAACATTAGGACCCTTGTCCTACTCGGTGGCTCCTTGGCCATTCACTCCGGAACCCTGTACTTCATCAGGTTTTTGCGCTAACTTGTCAGCATCTCCGAGATCTTTCTCATCTTCTTCCTCCTCATCTGAATCTTCCTCACATCCATCGTCAAGGACATCAGGGATCTCGAACTCAGCTGGAGGGGGATTGGTCATGACGTCGGAAACGTCGCCAGCAAGCCCCGATAGCTCTTTCAGAAATTTCACCGAGGAAAGAGCTTGTTTCAAGATCTCCAAGTAGGGAAACTGTTCTTCCTTGGGGTTCATCAGTCTGTCCACCAGGGTCTCATGCATAGTTTGTCGAGGAAAAGGCTTTAAAAATTACTTTAGCCATTCAACTGGGATACTCTTCCCTGCTTTTAGCCTCTTCAAGCCCTTGATTGCAACGCAATGCGAGCCAAATATAAGAGAAGGCTTATTGATGGCTTCCATTGCCTCTGTCATACCACCGGTCCTCATCATTCTGTGAAACATGTGCACCAGCCACTTGTATAGGTCTTCTTTTGAGATGTGAGAATCTTTCTTTCAGCTTTGCCTCTGCATACTTCTTTTGGAGGTCAGGTAGCTCTTTTTCTCAGGAAGCAAAAAGAAGTTGGTCTTTCTTAAAGACATCTTCTTGGATGGCTTTTTCCTGCTGCACTTCCATCTTCTCGGTCTGAGCTTTTTCCATTTCGACCATCAAATTCCTCGAGTGTAGCAGAAAGCTCATCATCACAGCATTCATCTGTAGTTATTGTTTCAAATATGCTAATCCTATTTGCGATATTCAGAATGCAAAAATTAAGCAAATATTTTAATGACCTACCTACTTCATGCAATCAGCTTCAGTCATTGCTTTCGCCTGCTCCTCTCACGAAGGGCACTCAATGGTTGGGGGGGGGGGTCGTTAAAAATGCAAACATCAGCCGCAGACTCCTTGTTTCCCTTGACAGGAATAGGGGGTTTGACAAACTCTTCAAGCACTTCTTTATCCTTAGGGGGATGTGCCCCTGTATTTACCTCAAGCGGGTGAATGCTCGATTCCACGATTGGTGACTCAATGCGTCCCTCTAATGGCGGGTCATTTTTGCTCTTCTTCCAGAGCTCTTTCTCGGTAGCTTTTGTGCCCTTGGGTAGTCTTCTCTTTTTTTTCTTTTTCTCCGCTCAGCTGGTGGGTCCTTGCTATCTGAATTTACTACAAGGGGCACATTATCACCATCTAATCATGTGGTAGTATTGCTAGACGACATGACCTATAAACACAAAACGAACGAGAGATTAGTACCTTTTTCTTCCTCGACTGGACTAGGAGGGACATAGTGTTGGACGGCTTTCCAAGCATACAGTGTGGGGAAATTAGTTATTGTCTTAACATCAAACATATACTTCAGAATCTCTTTCTCGTCAACTGTACTCCACTCATCTCTGATGGATCCAAGATCGTTTAGCTCTCGATAATCCCACTAGATTTCAAAGTTGGTCGGTGCTTTCACGAAAAAATACTCCGGTTTCCAAATGGTGAACCACCAAAGACACTCACTATGTCTACAGCACCGGTCGTGGGGTTCTTTTTAACATTATAGCAATCCTTATACTTTGTCAACGACAAGCATACTTTAAGGAACTATATTTGCCTCTGGACATATCCTCGCAAATTCAAGCATATATGTTATCAAGTTTGGCGTAAATCGAGCTATGAGAACCTTGTAATATTGTGCTATCTCCCTGAACATGGAAAATAGGGGGAATCTTAGACCTAGATACAAGTATCACTCATATACGGTAATCTTCCCTGGCAGAGGAGTATTGGCCCTCTCGTTACCTATTGGGGCTCTAGTTTCCACATATGTGGGAAGGTTGTATTTTTCATTGATGGCCTGAACTTTTTCGACTGAGTCTATGACAGATTCAAACTCTTCGACTGAAATATCTTTTGGATCTCTACGACTAGTCATGTCTATTGGAGATGAAATTACAGGAATTAAATTAAGGAACAAGGTTATCAGACATTTACTGATACAAGACTTTCCACTCGCCTTTTGAATTGTGGCCTCCCAGGATGTGAATGTCTCTGACAGTAGATATTACAAAAGCTTCGACAGCAACTCCAGGGACACTAGGGCGGCATTAAATTTTTCAGATTTTCAAATATGGTTTCGAGTGTGAATGAAGATAGGCGAGGTACAAAACCTTTTCCAGCGATATAAAACGAACAGGCACCTCCACGATTGGATGGTTTGGCCTACTTTTAAGGTAGTAGTAATGATAATGAAGCAGTCATTTGGGAAACATGTCCGTGAATGGGGCATGAGTTTCGTTTAGGCGGGATAGCAAGTCGGGTCATCCTCTTGGTACCCGCGAACGAATTTTATCAGGCCGAGTCCAAGTTATGTTTTTATTCTTATGTTAAGTATTATTTATTTCATATACTAACACTTGACAAGGGTACTTGACGAGTTCATATCCACATTGGATTACAAGACCCGACCCATCTATCAAATACGGACCAACCGACTTTACAAGGCGGTTGGATAATACAAAACCTAGTAGGATTCGGACATCCACAAGGTAATTCCATGTCTATAAATAGAGTTGATCACATCATAATTAAGGTATGCAATTTGCAGCAAGCTAAAGCTATATTACACTTTCATAAAATCCTAATTCTGACTTAAGTATCAGAGAGTCTACCATCGAGAGATGCCCGAGGTCTTTTTTTGCAAGTCACAATCCTGATTAGAGTTCCATTACCCGGTTACAAAATTTCGGCTTCGACAGCCCGACTGATAAAAAATTACTTGGCGTTTCAGTGATTCTTTATTTTAATTTTTTTTTTTCAATTTCTAACTTTATTTTTTTCAAGACAAATTAATCATTGCCTAAATAAATAAAAAAATCGTTCTTAAATTTTTTCAAAATTATGTGGATATCTTTCAAGAAAAAAAATATGATGAAATTGGTCGTCCACTTCTTCCATATGTATTAACACTTATAAAAAATTCAATGCGTCGATTCCATATATTGATACTCACAATTTGAGTGGTAAAATTAAGTCTTTACATAATCATTCAATTTTAGCGCCAGATCTTGGAGAAAGTTCAAAAGTTTTAAGACTCGCTAAAAGAGCTTCTCCTCTTATAAGTTTTATCGTACCTGTAATTGTTGTGTTATTCTTTGTACCTTTTTCTTTAAAAAAAATAAATGGCCCCAACGAGAAACGAAACTTTGACCTCTCAGTAATAACCATACTTTATTCTAATTTCCTAACCACCCCACCCAATTCTTACTTCTTTTTGCTTTTTGTAGTAGCATATCGTTAAATTGGTATGTGAGAAAGATATTTTTGCAAATGATCAAGTCAAAGATTACTTACACTAGATGGATTGGATGTGATTCGCGCGTACGAAAAATATAATGACATTTTAAAAGTGAAATTTAAATAATAAAAATTACGAGTTACTTTGTTTGTTGTTAGATTGTATTCAAACAATATTAACAATAAATTTTAATTTACAAAGTTTAGTACGTGCAAAACTATATATATCAACTAAAATGGTGGTATTAGATAATGCTATAGTTTGTGGTGGAAATGGCATTTCTCATCTCTTCTTGCTCGAGAAAAGAAGCACAAGAACTTGCTCCATAGTCGGATTTGCGTAAAAGAACAACAATTTCTCTGAAAATTCAACAACTCAACAACTCAAAATATCACGCACACTTATCGCGCAATCTGCAATTGGAGTTTTCGCATTAGGCTTCGTGGATTCCGGGTTAGTATTTTGTTTCCTTTTTTTTTTCATTCATCTTTCTCATTTCTGAAACTCAAAGCTAATGAAAACATCAATTAAGAAAAAAAAATGATGTATGATATGATTCAGGTATAGTGGAGATTGGTCAAGAATTGGAGTGATATCAAAAGAGACCGAAGATTTTCTTAAATTGGCTGCTTTTTTTGTTGTACCTTTCTGCTTCTTCCTTGTACTTTGGCTTTTTAGTTTTTAATAAGAAATCAGAAGAAGAATGATTGATTGATAGATTGATTAATCAACATTGGTTTTTTTTTTTTTTTGGTCTTCCTTGGAAAAAGCAATGATCTTGAGAAATTTGTAAATGTTTTTCTTAATAGCCACACATGTCGCCCAAATTCAATTGGCATCAATTTTATCTTTCTTTTTGCTAACCTTAGCTAGTCTAATAATCATCATCAAAGATTATAATCGGATATCTATACGTTTGTTATGACTGTCGAGTTTTAATTGTTGTTCAAAAATAGTTGAAGATATCTGAATATTTGAATAGATCTTTCTTTAACGGATTTGAATTTTGATGGATCTTCTGCGAGAGTCTCAAGTTCTTGCTCCCTTTCTTTTTTCTTTTTGAGCTTTACCATCGTACCATTCTTTGTCCCTTTCTTAGGAATAGTGATTCACTGACATATACTTGCTTATCATTCAACAGCATTCCATTTAACGTGTCCGTAGCACTTTGGGCAGATTATTCATTTTCAAATTGTACAAAACCATAGCCCATGGACTGCCCATTAGAGTCCGTAGGTATCATGCATGAAAGGATGTTACCAAAGCTTGAAAAGGTATCATGCAAGGCTTTATTGTCAATTGCCTTGTCCAAATTCTTGAACTTTTTTGAGCAAACCCTTTCTGCACGCTTTTAGGGGGAAAAGGAATTAGAAACAACTGAAATCAGAGGGTTTATTTTAGTTCCAAAAATTTGACCTTTGCAGTCACCATTCGTAGCAGTTGCCTAACTGATCCACAATTATTGTCATCATAAAAGAAAGATGTTTAAATTCATAATTTAAACCATCATCGTGAACAATTAAATAAAAAATAATCCGAAAAAAACATGTCTATTGCTCCTGAAACTAAAAGTAACAAAACGTTAACTTCAATGGCCAAAAACCATTTTAGATCAGGACATAATTGATCACAAACTGGCCTTTATTTCCTTGTGCACTTCTTCGTTTGGTGGGAGATTGAGTTTTGGATATCGAATCAGAAAGAGAATTCGGAAGAGGAGAGAAGGAAGACAATAAGTAATTGATGAAAGATTGATGATATATATGAGACGATAGGCAATTGAACTCATATAAGGGCAATTTTGATAAAACGAGAAAAATTTGCTCTGAAAGTTAAAAAATTTAATCTAGCACGATCATTGGCCATTTTTGAAATAAGAGTGACTAACTCTAAAAATTTCCTTGAATGACAAGTTGGAGATTGTACAATGTATTTTTGGAATAAAACTTTAGCGGTTATACCATACACGTTAAGTGCACAAAAGTAGAAATATTTTTT